ATTCACAAAATTAGTGTCATCATGCGCTGTCAATTTTCAATATCTATGTCACATATCCAGCATTAGATACAACAAACGAAAACGATTTTATGACTCTCTTCTGTATTGGGGAGTTTGGGGTTTCAGCAAACTTTATTATTGGAGGAGTAATTCATTTTTTATTTTTTATCTTATTTTCATACTTGATTATGAAGAAAGCATTTCAAAGAGTATCAAATGATTTAATATGAACAATTCAAATTTAAGTTTTAAATTAGAAGAGATAACTGCGATATAATACGAGATAACTGCATATTATATTTGATTCTGATGAAACCGTGTTGTTGTTATTAAGCTGATTCTTTGCAGACACACTAAGGTGACATATATCAACACTTGGCAACTTATTGACTATTTATTCAGTTGGTCTGAATAAATAGTCAATAAGTTGCCAAGTGTTGATATATGTCACCTTAGTGTGTCTACAAAGAATGCATATTATATATTTATCTTCGCCGAAATAAACACCATTATGAGATTCATCGTTCTTCTGTATGTCATTTTACTTTCAATCGTATGTCTTATAATTGGTTACGCATGTTCAACATTAACGTCTACGGTATTTTATCATTTTTCTTTCATAGTTACCAATCAGTTTCTTTTATTATGTTTAATAATTTTTGGTATTTCTTTATTACACAAGTCACCGTTACTTAACATTCGATTATTATTATACGGTGAATTGACACTATTTTGCTGTCTGAAGAATTAAAGCTACTTTTTAAAATTTAGCGGAAATAAAAATTGCTAACACAGTAAAATACAAACACACACAAGCTTTAAGATAATATGGAATACATAATTATCCCTATTCATTTTTAACTGAGACGTTCCGCTTCTAGTTACAAAACTAAGCATAAGAACAGAATAATTGATGACTAAATTATGACCAAATGCTATCGAAATTTATCGTAATTTCTAACTTATAATTAATTGTTATTCGTTATAAGATACTTATAATGTAGTTATTATACTTAAATAAATAGAGTATTAAGAATATTACATGAAAAAAGAACTAAAGAACTTTAAAACACGTAGAGTAAAACACGTGTTTTAATCGTCTTTGAACTCGGAAGTAGCTGATTTTATATATATATATAGTGTAATAAATACACCAAATATTAAGCACAATAATTGTTTTAATGATAAGTTCTCGATCGCTGGTAAGTAAAAATAAAATAATCGCATACTGTTATGCAACTTACTATTCCTACTAATTAGTCTACTAATTACTAAGGTTACAAACCTCCATAATTGAAGGATTGGTTAAAGATTACAGAGAACATAAATAAATGATATTAACAAATTCACATGCAATAAGTGTTTAGGTGTGGTGAATAAGTTTCTTTATATAAACTCGAGAATGATAAATAAAACAGCACCCAATATTTATAGCTTACTATCAATACCAAATGATAAAGACAGCGTAAGAAAGGAAAACTAGAGTATATAAAATTCCGTTTAAAAACCAACAATTAGGAATAGCAAAAAATTATTTGGTTGTTACTGGATGAAACCTGACAGTACGTGTGCAAAAACGTAGATACAACATTGACAAAGGACACAACAACATAATATTAGTGATTAACGAGTAACGAGGGCTGTTAATTAATTACATTACGAGTTACCATTATTAAATAAAAAATAAGAAAAATATCGGCGTTTGTTTTTGGCCCTATTTATAGGATTTCGTCTGTCCAATGATCTGGGACTATTCGAGTCACCAGAGGTGAGAAGCAACAAGAAATTTCCTGGTTGAGTTCACAGGGACTGTTCTGGTAGGTATGCAATGCGTGCAAGAATATGGCGGTCAAATTTCTCAGGTGGCCGATAGAGCAGTTAAAAAAATGAAATTCAAATGTAATTTAATATTATTTGAATATAGCGGTCGACGATGAAATAAATTGATGTTTGCAAGACGATTGAAAATATAGTTGTGCAGTTTACAAATACAAATAACAGAGCTTTATTTATGTTAGCGTCTTATGATTAAGTTTAAAGTTACACTTACGTAACTAATTGCGAATGGTTGCATTAAATAGTATAAGGTTTTATGTTTATGCTTATGTTTAATTGTGAATAAACCTTTATCATCGTTTCATTAATTAAAGAAAGGCACCTGATTTCTACGGGTCGGCTTGATTTAAATAACATTAAATAGAAATACATGAAATAAGTTTATAATTTTTTTTATCCCTGTCAACTATAAGAAACAGTCGTAAAACACATCAGTAGACTCTAATGGGTTGGGTTAAGTTATGAATTCACTCGCGATCAGCATTGATAGGAGCGGTCAAATGTCAGTAGCACGCAGGTGGCTAACATTCGAAAATCGGCTCTGTGATTTGATATCAAAGTCGACATCTCTCCTGAGGAACTTCCCCTCTGTGACTTACGACTACAAACAAGAATGTTTCCTGTTTGTCAAATTTTTAAGTTTTATCAATTATCGGACCCAGATTCTCGCAATAATAAAACGAGCATCTAACATCTTTCAGGAAAAAATGTTTCAATTGAAATAATGTCACTTCCGATGAAAATCCAAAGTTCATATATAGTTAATGGAGACTTCCTGTTCCTAATATTTCTAACTCCGGTCTAACTTTACATATATGAAATTTTTTCTCGAGATTAAGAAAAGTCGCACAGACGACCAGACAGTCGAAAGTGAAAATTTGTAGATCTACAATTTTTTCAAATTGCAGCTCAAAAATTATTACTATGACGCAATGAATTAGTAATTTGCCATATTACCAATATCTTAAGTGCCGGTAATAAATAATTTCATTTATTTAATAGTATTTATTATGGTAATTTTCATGAGCTGTTAGTGAATCCGTCAAAGTTAATTAACTAACAACGCACTAATTAAGGGAGTGATGCCACTACACTCCAATTAATGTCCTTTTACATGGAACTTTAATTACTGCATTTTGATTAACTGACTGATAAAGATAATGGTTTTTCCATTATATTCCGGAAATATTAATGGTTAATAGAAGCAAAAAAGTCCGTTCTTCGATATAATCGCACGGAATAACTTATAAAAATTATTATATAAAACAACTGAAAAAATTGAAAATACTAAGTAATGAGCAATTATTTATTATGATATTGTCACAATACCAAGCTGCAATTTTTAATGACATTAAAACATATGCTCTCAAAAGTTAGTTTTGTTACACCTAATTACTTTAATTTTTTTTATGTTTTTTTAGAAATGTGATATAATCGTGCAGTATCAAAAATCCAATAACAAACTTTAATGTCCACCAGTGGCCGAGTGGATAAAAGCTCTAAACACAGATTCGCGGCTGCCAACGAACTAGTAACGTGGAGTTCTCCGGGTTTTCTTAATGTTAATAATAATACTTTCCGAAACGTATCTTATAAGAACGGGCTCCTATTTCGGCGTTACTGACGTAAGGAAAATACGGAAAACTCCAAGTGACCATTCCGTTGGCAAGACGACAAGCGTTTAGTGTCTTTATGCACTAGGCCACAAATGGGGCTGGCTAATAAAGAGCTCGTATCCGAATTTGGTTGGTTGATTTGATTATCTGTTCTCGCTTCTTGATTGGGCCTATTTCTGTTTCGATGTGTAACTCGACCAATTCAGGAGGAGAAAAAGATAGATCTTCGACATTTAACACGACACGGAATTCCGACCCCAATTGGCGATGTTCGTTCTTGTAACACATTATTTACTCATTCCTTCCTCGCTTTTATTTTATAAATTTTTAATTCATTTTTCTTCTATAATAAAACATTTTTTTAAACACATTTAAAGAGAGGTTCGGACCCTGATTGCACCCTCGCATTATGTTGAAGTTTATTAAGTAGAAGCAAAAGTATCTCTTATCCAGTAAGGACAATGGAAAATTTCCAATAAAGAAGTTTATAGAGTTTGCTCGTGTCAGAAGCAGCTATTAATAAACCGACAACTAAATTTGCTTAAAAATAGCGTTATATTAATAATATTTATACAATTTTATATATAATTTTGATATATTTATTTACATTTGTTTATACATTTTTTAAATGTCTGCAGTATTTTACATTATCTGTAATTTAAAATAAAATAAATAAAATATTTGCTTATGTTCTGAATTACTTGATCATAACTCGTTAATTGCGCTGCAATTCGAAATAAATTGTAAACCTATAAATTTCCATTGTCGTCTGCCCGCCTGTCTTTCCTTAATCTCGAGAACGAAGTTAAATAGATGGAAGAAATTAAGATCAATGGAAGCGTTTGAAATCTTTCAAGCTTCTTGAAAGGGTGTATTTATTAATCTCAAAGAAAAGGAGACGTTATACAAAGCGTGGCAACTTTTAGTGGATAACTTAATAAGTGAGGAGAAACGACATTGGCCATTAGAACTCAGTTCGTTTATTAAATTTTGTAATATATACATTTTCTTACTGAGGCAGACCTTTAAACGGAATCAGAAACGTTTGCTTTTGATTAAAACGCTGCTAGAAAGGCATAGGAGAAGATGTAGAATTATTCATATTTTGATTTAGGAGTTTTACTACAACTCTGTCTTTCCAATAATCAGCTGTACAAAGAAAACCTTTTCTACATCAAAACTTAACTGTAAGGTTGTAATTTTTATTTATTGTTGTATTAAAAAACTTCTTAAAAACACATAAACTCTTTACCTTGTAGATACAAACTGTAGTACAAATGAATAGATTTAGTTTTGCCTATCATGAATGGTAAATTTCAAGTTATTTGTGTAATAATATATTCTAAGGAAATCACGCGTGGATATATTTCAGTATAAAGTTTCAATAAATAAGATAGTACAGTCTGAGCAATCTTAGAAATTTATATTTTCTTATTTAGCATTAAAGTTCAGGAATATTTTTCTCAAATTACGAATTCATTCGCAATTTTTTTGTTCCAATCACCAGCAATAGTTAATCCGTATTCTTATTTAAGAAAAAAACAAAAGAAATCGAACCCGAATCACAAGACAAAACCAGATGCAGGTTAGTAATTTTAAATTTTAAAATACGTCATTCGAAATTCTTCATGTAACGGTTTAGAATAATTTATTCGAATTTATACAGAAATGAATGCATTTCGTATTTCACGTATTCTAAGATATATTTTAATAAACTTTCATTTAATATTGTCTAGCGCAACGCAGGTGTACGAAATCGATGGAAATCTCTTCTTACGTACAATTTTCGTCAGTAAGAAAGATGCTATTCCTCTGGAGATAATGTTAGATGAAACTGATATTTCATTCCACGTATGTTTGTACGAAGATCAAACAGTTTTCTCTTCTGCAACGAAGGTATATATCTTCAGAGATAATAAGATAAAAAAACTTTATATAAGGAACTTACCAGAAGCCACGTTATATATTGGCTATTTTAAAGATAGTAAAGATAACGCGATTGGATATTTATACAAAAATCATTTGGTCGGAAGATTTCAAACTTCATTCGATACTCACTTTAGTGAACCAGCAAATTTTCACCAACAGTTTAAAGGAGAAAACCATACCGTTTTCTATAACCTGAAAGAAGTAATTTATAACTCTAAGTATAAAGATGGCAAAGGTTTCTGTGACGAGATTAAGCATACACCCGAAAGCAAGAAATATTTCATGCAAAATGACGAAGCTCCGTGCAATAAAAGTTTCTCTTTTAAAGTGAGGTGAGTTGGAAAATTTTATATAAGTTATAACATTTGTCTATTTCCTCGATGGACACTAAGAGAAATTTATGCTATTGGCAAAACTATGTTAATTAATTGAGCGATGTTTAAGGATTCGTAAAATAAAGGGGATCTAGTGTAGGTCTTGTAAACTGTTTCTATGGAACAGTACAAACATGCGTAATAGTAATATCTTTTGCGACTGGTTTACTAAATATACAATTAGTGCAAAATGACAACACTATTAGTATTATTCGTATAATAATATATTACACAAATAATACTAATAATAAATTTATTAAGATTTTTCATTTGTGAAATCGTTTTATAGTTTTTCCAGAAGGTGCTGTATTCTGCAGTTTTGAAAAATTACTGTAGTGTGATTGCCTGTGTCTAAATAATATAATGCGAAGCAATATATTGTTCAATGAAATGTCATAAAACAATATATCGCTTAGCATTACTTGCGCAAATTATATTTAATCCAATATCGATTATTGTTTTAGTATTATTTGTGAATCGATGGCATTTTTAAATGGATTTATCGTCAGTTCGGCAGGTTTGTTATTTTCTCGGTGCAAATTATTGTTCGTGTTTTATTATACATTTATCTTATATTGGACTTGGGTTCATGATTATAATAATAATAATGATAACATTAAGAGCAGTTCCCAAACGTTTACGAGTTGAAAATTGAAATTTTGTACTTCATGAGATTGTAGACAAAGAACGGACTTTCCGAAATTTCTCCCGCGGAAAAAAGGAAGAGAATAAAGAATTATTTTGAATTCTGATTTTACTGTACTATTTTAAATGCGGTTTTTTTTTTGCGAAAAATTGTACTTGTTTTCAGACCCATCTAAAAATTACGTTATTAGTCTCGGAAGAGGGTGAACCTAATTCTTGCACCCGGTAATAACGGATGAAATCGGCTGTAAGCTAATAAGCTTAACTTTTGCTATTGTTACTTTTTACCTGAGCAACCCCGGGCTCATTTACTATTATGTTAATAAAAAAGTAAATAAAATTAATACAAAATGCAAATAATTATTTATCAATTCTGATTGCTCCAGATTGTCTCACACAACTAAAACCTCCGAGACCTGATCACCATCATAATAAAAATATACAAACGAAAGAGATTCGTATAGTACATCGTTTCACTCAGTCAGTGTTTTCCTTTTCTCGTATTTTATCTAAAATTCCAGCTGTAAATCTTATGACATTGTTGGAATTATTTTTATAATTTTATTTATCTTTGTTTGTTTTTTTGTTACAACCAATGACTTTTTATCTCAAACGTATAGAAAACAAAATAAATAAATTAATAAATTTAAAAATGAAAATAAAGTAAACAAATTAATAAATGAGATATTTGTTTTAGTCAATGATATCGTTGTTCACTGCATTGTGAAAGTACTGTACTTTCTAGGTGCAGATAAACAAGAAGCATCCTTATAGTTCAGATAGCCGAAACCTTTAGATGAATTGAAAAGATAATTGCTGAAATAGATTTTTTCTTTAAAGACTTTTATTTTGTTCATAAATTTTTTGTAAAATATTTTTAGAACGTTTCTATCTTTGTTCAATATTAAATTTGCTTATAAAAGGTTTTTTGTACCATTATGAACGTGGACGGACTAATGCCAAGTGTTAGATGTCCTTTACCATATTATTCTTAATTAATTTAATTAAAGAACTAAAATTTCTTCTTACATAACTGCTTTGTTTATACATACCGTGGATTCAGTCAGGCCCACAATAAAAGGGACCTGGTGGTAATAGAAGGTCTGACGGATCTCAGAAAGAGCGCCCTTGAAAGTTTCCTGGTAAGCTGCTTGACTTAATTCGATGTCGGGTCTCCCAATGCGCTTGCAGAGATTTTATTCATCTCTGCATTCGACCGTCTGTTAGTTTGGTTGTAAATGGAGTAAAAATATAATATACATTTATTATTAGTTACAAATTGTTAGTCCTTAAGAGACCGAGCGGATAAAACCAATAAACACTGATTCGCATCTTTCCAACGGGCTGGCCATTTCACGCCTTCCGGGTGTATTTCTACGTTTGTAACACCTAAATAAGTACTTGTTTCCAGTAGAAACAATTCCCACAATAATTAATTTTTCGCAGAAATAATTTCAGTAGTGATAGCTAAAACTTTAACTCTTATTAATAAACATTTTTTACGTGTTTTCACAGGCAAGAAAGAAGTTGTTCATTAGAAATCTTAGTAGATCATACATACTTCGAATATATGGAGTTTAACGTGAATAGAACAGTTGCAGAAGTTCAGTTCTACACCATGTTTGCACAATATGTATTCCTCAACTCGGACATTGATCAAGACGGTAAACCGGATGGCATCGGTTTCAATATAGATAAAATAACCATATTTGGAAGTAATGATGAACCCGGTTATCTACTAAACACTGACACAAATAAAGAAATGGAATTTTTGGAACATATATCTCAATATAGACACACGTCTTGCATGTTGATATGTTTCACACGTAGAGACTTTTGGAAAGATTCTGGCTGTTCTAGTGGAAGAGTCAGCAAAATAGGAGGAATTTGCTCCGAGGATGATGGTGATGATGATACTTTGATACGTAGTAATGTAGGATTTATTACAAATTTAGAAAGAAATTTAACAATACCAAGGTTTAAAGTTGCTGCAAATTTTGTCCATCTGTTGGGCCATGCGTTTGGATGTAAACACGATCCTATAGATTTAAAAGAATGCAATCCAGGAGAATTAAAGCAATTTATCATGCATGAAGATGTTCCTTTTCAAAGCGAAAATAATTGGAGATTTTCAAGTTGTTGTTTAAAATCAATACAGGAAATAATTAAAGTAAAAGGTAACGCTGTGTATTTCATTCTGAACATGTAAGTATATAGAATAAAACTTAAGTTTAGTCAATTACTTTGATTACCTGGGATATTTCCGGTAAAGTAAGACAGGCATTAATCTAAAGTAATATACCATAAAAAACATGTCTATGGTATATCCAGTAGGCCTATATCCAACAGCCCTATATCCAGTAGAATATCTCCACTTTTTAGAGAGCTCTTCTATGGCTGTCAATTCTCTGTCAATACAGAGAATCAGCCATAGAAGAACTCTTTTAAAAGCCATAAAAGAGCTCTCTTTGCCTTAACTTCTCAATCAACTACCAATTTTGGTATTTTTATCCATTCAGCTACTGGTGATCGGCTTTCTTATGTAATGTAAAGAGGAACTTGGAATATTCATTTTTATTTGTTAGCGCAGTATTGAACGATTTTACGTGATCTTTAGAATTAAAGTAAGCGTGCAATTAATAGGCTTTAGAATATTTTTTGTAATTATACAATCAATTTGTTTTTCTATATTTCAAGGATAAGTTATATTAACAAATTTTGCTATAAAATAAATACCTAAACTAAACACTAATTTAGAAAATGACGAGAAAGTGTTGATATATCACTTTATGCTAAACAGTAAAAAAATGTTTCATGAAAATTTTCATAATAAAATAACTTTATTTTATCAAATTAAAAAGTGAAATTTCTTTTAGCCACATTTATAAAATTTCAAATTATAAAAACTCAAATTGTTTCATCTTTGGCAATAATAAAAACTGAAGATATTCTACTGGCGTTGTATTTAGTCTATATTTATGTGTTTATATGTGACTTGAAGACAAGTGAGACAGAAGATTGTTTAAAAAATTTAGTTTTTTTAGTCTTCTAAACAAATCGGTAAGTCTATTTGGAAATCCTCAAAGTTTTTTCACGCAATTTGAATTTTGTTTAATAATTATAAGAAAGATCATGAGTTTTTGGTGTTGTTTAAAGATATAATTTTATCATAATTATAACCATGTTATTCATTTTGATAATTTTATTTTATTCTATTGCTAGCCAAATGCTTGAAAAGAATTAAGTTAGCCTTGTGTGGAAATGGAATTATTGAAGAAGGCGAAGCGTGTGATTGCGATTACACAACAGACAACTGCACACAACACGAAAAGTGTTGTATTCCTAAAAGTTCTCCCAATCAGTGCACTGTTAAACACGAAAGAAACATTGACTGTCCATTCCAGTCAGCAGAATGCTGCAACAAGTACTGTAAATTTTCTCGAGTAACTGAAGGAAAGCCGTGTAATAGTAACGTTACCTGCTTTAATTCAACTACCGTCTGCGATGGTACTTCACCATTTTGTCCTGGAATTTTAGAAGCTGATGGAACACCGTGTCTCGGGACATCACGAACTTGTCAGAAGGGTTACTGCGTCAGTAACGTATGTGAACTTTACGAGTTACAACCCTGCGAGTGTCTATCACTCGAACAAGAATGTCACATCTGCTGTAAAACGGAGACTAGTACATGTAAAACAGCTAAAGAATTAAAAATTTTCCCCTCAGAAAATCAGTTATATATTAAGAAAATGGGCACACGCTGTAACAAAGGATACGGAAGTTGTATAAAGTAAGTAGTTAGTGGAAAATGCGTTTACATTTCCTGTAATAATTTATTTATTTTTATTTTTCAGCAATGGAATTTGTAAAATAGAGGAAAAGAATTATTTAATTTGGTATATTGTCTTTGCATTGCCGTATCTTTTGTTTACTGCGTGGGCAATATTCTTCACTCGTAAGCAAAAATAAATAAATTCTAATTACAAATAATATATTTTTGAATAAAAAGAGAGTGGAAACTTCACCATAACGTATCTGTAAAGCATTAATAAATTAAAATCATTTTAAACTGTTTTCAATTAATACCATTACAGATATTGTTAAGTGCGTAACAGCTGCATAGAAAAACATAAGAAATGTTTGTTGATTTGGTTATTTTGTATGCATTTTAAGAAGAAACATTCCCCAAAAAATGGCTTACTTTTGGGAGCGGATTTTGCTGTAAGTTTGTATTATATTTATAGCCAGGTAAAGAAATATTACTAAAAACCAGAGAAAACAAAATCTAAAATAAACGCCAATAAAACGGGATTTATTTTTTATTCTTTAATACGAAAATAGGTATTTTTACATTTTTTAAATAGAAATCACCTGTTATGTCAAAGAACTCATTGTTTGATAAAGTAGTTTTAATACAGGTAAGTAAGCAAGCCAATGACATAATCATAATTCGTTTCATTTGAAATGGACGATGCCGTTGGCTTGCTTATCCATTAATTTATATAACACTGGTTAAAAATACTACTTTTTTCCAGCAGCCTAAGACAAAGAGCTTAACAATCCTTCATATTGGGCTGATGTTCGAACTCTATATCATTCCTCGGTTAGTGAAAATTTGTTCAAATTTAGTGGGAATCAGAGTTTGAACTAATGAAAAGCTTATCTATGATTTGTTGACAGTGCTGCTAACATTTGAGAGTCGACTAGTGTCGATAAGCGAACGGTCAGAGTACCAAGTTTATACTGTATGTAAATTTTATTCGAAGTTATACTGTAACCTGATTTATAAAACTAAATGTTTTCTATATATATATATAGGTAAGTTAAACAGTATTTTTGAAGGTGAGTGTTGAAAGCAATGTAAAAAAAACAATGAGCAAACGTATTTTTATAAAGTTTTATAATTTGCATTTTCTCTTAAACTTTTCCCGTTCTATGGGCACTAAATAAGATATTTTTTCTTACTAATCGTCGGCTCGGATTACACCAATGGACGACTAGCTGATGAGAGAGGGCCAAGCTTATCCGGAACAGATCATTCCCAACAAATTCTCAGGTTGCTAACCCGGATTACTCAGGGAGTTGTATTCTTGAAAATTGACTGAACTTTTATTAACATCAGTTTATTCACAAACTAGCTGTTACCCGCGACTTCGCCCGCGGAGGTTTTGCAAGCAAACCCCATTTATATTCAGTATTTCAACAACCATAATAATTGTTATATAACACCTACCGCTGAGAATGATGAGAATTGCTGCGAATCAAATTAACTACAGTAGACCCCCTATAAAACGGGTTCCTATAATTACGATTCCTATAAAACTGCGCAAAAATTGCGACGGTATCCGTAAAAAACGATAAAAAACTCCGAAAATTACTTAAAACGTCATCGGACAGCCGAACTATTTTCCACCGTCAAGTGCTACGCTACGGAGAGATTACTATTGTCTGTACAGTATTATATATAAATTATATATAAATTAGGTACTGTACACATAATTATATATTAATTATATATAAATTAGGTACTGTATATATAATTATATATTAACTTAATTTATTGTAACTTTATTATAATTATATATATGCTTTTTGCCGCCTGGCAACACGCTACGGAGATTTTAGGCTAGTAAGTTGAGTTTATTATCGTCTG